CTGGAGATGCCATTGGATTGGAAGTTTATCTCTTTATGCTAATTTTGGTGATTTTTGACGCGAGAACAGAGCAGTAAGGAACGAGATATACTTGTCCTATAGGCACCGTGGCAAAGACCAGTGTCTCATCCTCTCTTTTTTTGGGGCATTAGGAACGGAGCACTTGCTCGCGTCGCCTCCAGGGGGCGACTCGGGCGCCCCAACCGCCGCCGCCCTCGACCTTCCTCCTCCCCTTCTTCCCCGCCGCCGCTGAAGGAGGCCGGCGAGCGAAGCTCGCCCGGCGGACGGCGGACGGCGGGCCCTCCTCCTTTCTTCATGAGGGGATCCTCTGGCTGAGATGCGTCGGTGTCCCTGGGCGTACAGCATGGAGGCGGAGTTGCCGCGCTCGGGCGGCGGCCCGATGGGATCCCGACGACGCTGCGGGGGCTGGCGGCGGCGGATCTGGGGTTTCCCACCCCAATCGGCTCTCCTTCGGGTGGTCGGGCTCGGGCGCCGTCCGGCGGTCCTAAGCGGTGGCGGGCACTCGCGTTGGCTATCCTCCTTCACGGATGTGATTGGGGGCGGCCGAAGGAGTTGGCGTGATGCCGGATCCGAGCACGGTGGTGGCGCCGTCCCCTTCAGGGATGACGGCCGGGTGGTGGGTCCTTGTGGCGGCGGATCTTGGGATCCCGCTCCCAGGGACGTCGCAGGACGCGGCGGCCCGTGAACGAGAGATGGAGTTTCTTCGAACATATCTGGGTGAAAACTTGCTTTTGACTACTGCAAAGGCCGACGATGGCGGCGCTGTCTGCGTCATTCACTTCTTGAAGGCATCGTCGTGGAGAAGTTCAAGACCACTCTCTGCTACCTCCGGGGGAAATCCTAGATCAGTTGATAGGATGACGGCGGCGCTCTGGTGTCGTTTTCCCCTTGGGGGCGTCATTCCTGGAGATACACATGGGCTCGGGGAACAGAGGACGACTTCTTCGGTGGAGCGGTACCTCATCTTATACATTGATGGCAGCGGATCTCGGCAGCGTGGCGCTGTGGAGATTCGGAGTCCGATGCGCAGAGATGGACTCGAGCAGGAGGAGGATGCTGTCTGGCGTCATGGTGGCGTCGATGGCAGAAGAGGCCTGGCAAGGTCGATGCATTAGTTTCTGTTCTGAAGATGGATTGGTGGAAGATGGCGGCGACGACACAAAGAGTGCGTCGGAACAGTTTGTGTCCCAAATCCGGTATGTGGCTTGGTTAGGGCCTCTGTCTTTAGGTGTTAGGCATTTGTGTGATGTCTGTTTGGTATTAGGCTCGGGCTATGGGCACACCTTCATCAGGTGGATAGGAGTAGCGACAGTTGTTGCTAAGATGGTGGCTTCAGTCTACCTAATGTACTACTTTGTAAGGTCTTTATGAATAATTAATAAAATGGCTGCATGCATCGTCCAGATGCAGAGACCGAGGGTATTCTTCTTTTTCTACAAAATTTTTTTGTCCTATAAAAGGCAGATACTTGTCCAAAAAAAAGTGCGAAGGATGTGGCAATGAGACCGAAGATCAACAGATCTCAGAGTCAGTGGATCCTAAAAAGTGAAAAAACAGGCAACCAGTAGTGGGGAGTTACTTATATTATATGTACCGAGAGAAGATAGCTAAACCAGAATAGCACAAGGAAAGGACTAGTGGCATATGCACCTCAGTTATTGTCAGACTCAGAGTCAGATTTCGAGTGAACACAGGAGGGGAGGAGCATTCTTAGAAACTTCTTTTCGTTGAATTGTGCTTGTGGTGGACCTCGTGGTCGGTCTCTAAAGTAGGCTCTTGGTACTGGGGAAGGGAGTTTATGTACAATACTGAAATAGTCGCCACCTTCTTTGCATCGTTTTTCCAACTCAGGGCAGCCATATATGCTTAGCTTGTCAAGGGCTGGCAACCGCTGAAGGAGACCATCCGGGAATTCCTTTACTGCTGGACAAAATAAGATCTCCAATGTCTGAAGAGAAGTGAGGCCATTCATCCCATCAGGCAACGCTTTCAGGCCAGTGCACGTTACCACGCTCAGCTTTGTCAGATCTCCGAGGTTTGAAGGCAGCGCCACCAAACATTGGAAGTCTTCAATCGTTAAACTTTCAAGGGATGTAGACAACCTTGGAAGACGTTGCATCTGCGACAACGGAAGGGTCTCAATCTCGTTCGATGAAGCCTCCCCCAGAATACACAGGTCTTTGAGAACGGGGCACAATGGAAAACTTGCAAGCTTAGGGCACTCCCTGATTATGAGCTCTTCAAGCACCGGGAATATCACTAATCCGTCAATAGCCACTCCCGCATTGTTTTCTGCCCATCCCTCTAGACTACATAGCTTTTTCAAGTCCATCTTCTTCAACTTTGGGAAAACCTGTAGAGGGGTACTGTGTCCTCCACCTTCTATGCAAAGGTTATCACATACTGTCTTCAGTTTACCCATGTTTTCTAAGGATAAGTACTCCAGTGATGGTGACAACCATACTACTGGTATATTCTTACACCTTATCCAGTTGGAAATCACGAGTTGTCTTAGGCACCGAAACATCTGAGGAACACTCATCCATTGTGGTATTGCTATGCCACCATATCCGTATAACTCCAAAAAATGGATCTTGCTATGAGGTTTTAGATGCTGGAACACTTCTTCATCATTACATGCCTCATTTCCGGGCTTGTTATATTTTGTACGGCCCCAAGAGAACAACAACTCACTCAGATTTTTCTTCTGCTGAAGATTGGCTTCTTTTGCATGATTTACACTTTTTATTTTTCTCAATCTGTATAGTTCCAACCTGCCGTGAAGCTGTCTCAACTCTTTGAGCTCCTCAATACCACAACCATCTCTATTATCCACAACAAATGTTAGTGTGGGAAGGTTGTTAAGCTGACCAATGTTTCGAGGCATCCGCTCCAACTTATCACATCCAAAAAGATAAAGATGTATGAGCTTTCTCAGGCCCATCATCATGTCTTCTGGTAACTGTAGTAGTCCTTCGCAATGATTGAGCCTCAAAGTTTGCAGGTTATACAATGAACATATTGAACCTAGCAATCTAGCATTGGGTCATAAGAGAGGTCAAGATACCGTAAATGTTTTGCATTTATGGCCTTGAAACTGGCGTCCGACACACTCCGCCAATGCAATGCTCACAATGATACATGTGGCAGCCGGTTAAAGTCCAGGCATATCCTTGATGGAGCTAACAAAGTGCGGAGAGATGTTTTGCCTTCCAACAACCCATTGATCTATTCCAATTCAACCTCTGACATTTGCAGGTGACAAACATTTTTTACCATTTCTTTCTGTTCAGTCAATTCTTCCATGGTGGCACATTCATGGCTAACATCTCTGGCTAAGTCATGCATTAAATCATGCATTTTACAAACTATTGTCTCATATCTTGTGCCACCATAATAGCGATCAGATTTGACTACCACTTTAATATCTTGCAGGAAAGACCTCTGAACCAACTCATGGAAAATGAGTTCTCCTTTCTGTGCTAAATTTATGAGTGAAATGCGCCACTAGTCCACAACTCAAACTGATTGCACACTTTAGGCCAACAACTCGAGAAGTGATCTGATTTAGTCTACAAACTCATTGATTTGATCAAATAAGGCCAAAATCGGCCCGAGAGTAAAAAACCGGCCACATGGATGCCATGTCATCCTTCGTTGCCCGCTGGTGATTTCACTATGTTTTATAAGGATCTGTTTGTAAATTCGACAGCTTTTTCTCACAACCATGCTAAGGGCGTTTGGAAGGGAGAAAAAATATTTAAAAAAATTGCATTGACCAGGACTTGAACATGGGCCGTTTGGAGTTTCGCATGCCTTAGTGACCACCACACCAACACCACGTTTGCACACTAACCTACAACTCAGGGTCTATATATGTATTCACTTAGAATCAGAAGAAAAATAAATCTGTATATACTACTTAAAAAGAACGTAAGGTTTCCATTTCACCTCTCTTTCGTCCAACCTTTCATATATACGTCCCACTCTTTCCTTATTCTTTTTGATTTCTTCCCTACTTAAAAAGAACGTAAGGTTTTCATTTCACCTCTCTTTCGTACAACCTTCCATATATACGTCCCACTCTTTCCTTATCCTTTTTGATTTCTTCCTCCCATATTTGATTTTTCTACCATCCATTCAATTGTCTCATGTTTATTAACTTATCAAAATAAACACATATTTTATTGGCAAGTCATTAAATTCTTACCAAATAAGTGCTTAACAATAAAATGGCAGATAAATCATGGCAATTGTATATAAATATTTGGTAAGATTTTAGCGTATCAATATAATAATATATGTGGATTCTCAAAAACAATAATACAATAATAAGCGTGCAATCAGGGGCTAATCTATTAGAATGTTTATACTCCCGTTGCAACGCACGGGCAATTGTCTACTAAGTGAGTTCTGTCGGACTTGAGCCCAGGTCATCGGGATAGAAATCAGCTTCCAGACAGATACACCACGAACTCATTCATGCACCAACAGGCAGCCTACTTTATTTATCTTCGCAGATTGACAAACAGAAGGAAAAAGATCGCCTGATTGAAAAACGATCTGGAGGGACCTTCTGATTTGTTTTTTCTCTGTCATGATTCTATGTGAAAATATATCCTGTGGGCAGCATGCTAGTGTGCAAACCAGATGTTGGTTCCGTGGTCAGTGACGCAGTCCAAATTCTGAACAGCCCATGTTCAAATCTTGGGTAACGCAAGTTTTTCTACTATTTTTTATGATTTGTGAGAAAAAAATCATCAAATTTATATAAAGACCCCTGTAAAAAATAGTGAACGCACGAGCAGTCAACGGAATGATGACATGGCATCCATGCGGCCGGTTTTTTAACTCTCGGGCCGGTTTTGGCCTTATTTGATCAAATCAATGAGTTTGTGGACTAAATTCGATCACTTCTCGAGTTGTTGACCTAAAGTGTGCAGTCGGTTTGAGTTGATGGACTAGTGACGCATTTCACTCTAAATTTATTGTTCCCTCTTCTTGAATAAAGCCATTTGCCATCCAAAGTTGGATCAACATATCCTTCTCCATCTCATAATCCTTCTGGAAAACAGCACAAAATGCAAAGCATTGCTTCATTTCAGCTGACAGGTGTTTGTAGCTTAACATTAATATAGGTATGACCTCATAATCATTATCCCCAATGCTACTTTCTTCGATGGCCTTCCATTCCAGCACTTCTTGCTTTGAACTCAGCAATCCACCCAATGTCTTCAAAGCAAGAGGCAGCCCCCCGCATTTATTGACAATACGTCTTCCGATGGTGACTAACCTTGCTTGCTTCTCTACACCATTTCCAAATGCTTTGTCCAAAAATAGTTCCCATGAATCTTCTCCAGTAAGAAATGTTAGCTCATGGGTCTTAATGGTGCACATTATAGAGGGCACTTGCTTGCTGCGACATGTGACCACTATAACACTTCCTGGTCCGCCAACAGAACACAATAGTAGCCTCATTTCATCCTCCCACATCCTCTTCTCTTCATTCCATACATCATCGAGAACAAGTAAAAATCTCTTCTGGCCAATGACTTCATCAAGTTTCTTCTGCAATAGTTCGATGCTGTCGGGCAGGTCACATCTTCCACTTGTAGCCAATTCAATGATGGATTTCACAATAGCAATAACATCAAAATTGTCTGACACGCAGTGCCACATCTTCAACTAGAAATGTTGCTGGACCTCTTGGTCATTGTACACCATCTTCGCAAGAGTTGTCTTGCCAATACCTCCCATACCAAAGATGGGCAACACCTACACTTTCTGCTGATCTTGCTGGTCTAGCAGCAACTTCACCACTCCCTTCTTGTCATCACCTCTTCCAAACATCTTGGTGGACTCGTCCAGTTTGGAGTGTGTCTGCCGCTATATATGCTGAACCTGCGTCGGGGTATGCGCATTGCATTGCATTGGTGCAGAGCTAAGCATGCGTGTGAGCCTCATAAAAAGAAGAAAGGTAAAAATACCAAGCAGATTTATGTTAACTAAACATACAAAGCAAAATTAAGGTCTTCCTGTTGGTAGATGTTTAGACTTTAGACCCTTTGCAGCAGACTAGCCATTTGTTACTACCCAAATTCAGTTATGGCTAGTGCATGCTACCCAGATTCGACTGTAATGTTGATCTCTAGAATTTAGCATGTTCCTAGTGGGAAGTATTTCATAGTTTTTCTTCCACTTTAGTATTCCTAATAATAGGTAACCTAACCAAACATTATATTTTTCTGCAGTTTGACATGTGGTTAGGTTTTGATCAAAATCCTCTGTATGCTCTCTTGCATGAGTCTATCTACTGTGAGATAACTTTTGATATACTTTATTTAAATATGTTTAGCTGGTACTGCAACTCTATTTATTAAGTCTAGTGTAATTCATGCATCTAAGGATCTTCATCAAAATGGTCGGCCGATAAGATTTTCAATGAAAATGGAAGCTTGTTTAATCCTGTTAAGGCTACAGCAGAAGGTCGTCCTGTGTATCTGACTGAGGAGGTAAGTTCAAATCTTCAAGCGAAACATCATTCACTAGTCACGTACTTTATATTACTCTAATCTGAGCTCTATCATGCGTTGGGAGTAGAATTTAATTCTTTTTGGGCCGTCTAGCAAGTTTGTAACTTGTAACTTGTAACTTCTTCATTAACTTCCTTGATTATACAAAAAAGTGTTTCTTACTAAATTAGAAACTCATGAGGTGAAAGGCTTATTTTGCCGCCTGTTTTCAACTAACGAATAGTCTGTAGTTACTGAAGTATGGCAACTGGAAGTTCTGTAGTTGCATTTTATTTCCTTGTAGCTTTTGGACATCAAAAAAAATGTAACTTACATGTCATTAGATCAATTCAACAGTACTACAATGTCAATACATCAATTGACCGATAGTGCAAATACATGAGAGCAACTGAATTTTGGACATCATCAATCGATCAATACATCAGAGCAACTGGATTTTGGACAGCAACTGCATTTTGGACCACTCTATATACATCAGGATCATATATCAACAGAGAGGAAAAGGGAAAAGATGGGGGGTGGTCGATGGTGCGCTCACCTTGCTCGCCGCCGTCGAACGGCTTTGCATGAGTGCGTGTGATTGACCGCTGAGTGCCGGTGAGTGCGGCGCTGGTGGTCGGTGGAGGGCATGGAGGTGAGGCGAAGGGTGGGAGCCTTGCCCACTCGTCCTCGGTGCGCTCGACGAGGAACAAGGAGAGCCACGACCGGCGGCGTCAGGTGTGGCGAGTACCGGCGGCGACCCCCGTCGGAGCCGAGTCCGACGCGTCCTGGGGTTCTGGTTGTGGCAAGGAGGGACGCGATGAGAGGGCTGACTACTGGATGAGAGACGGCGGCGACTGAGGCGGAGACGGCGGCGATTGGCCTGGAAAGGACGGCGGGATGGGGTTGGCGGCGGCGGCCGCGGGATGGGAGTGCACCTATTCCTTGCGTGGTACGGCGCGGAGCGCCCTGTTTTTTATTCGTTTCTTTGTGTTTTTTTTTGCTTTTTTTTACTTTGAATTTTTTCCATGAATCCAAAATCCGAAAAACATCTTCGGGATTTAAAAAAAATATATTCGAAAAATGTTCTTGAAACTTGAAAATCGCTCATAAATTTGAAAAACATTCTTAGGTTTCAAAAAATGTTTTCAGCTTTAAAAAATATTCATAAATTTGAAAATGTTCTTGGATTTCAATTTTTTTCCTCAATTTCAAAACAATTTTAATAATTTTAGAAAATATTTCAAATTTAAAAAATGTTCCTGAATTTCCAAGAAAGATCATAAATTTGAAAACTGTTCCCACATTTAAAAGCATTCAATAATTTGAAAAAAATGTTCATGAATTTACAAAATGTTCTTGAATTGAAAAAAATGTTGATGATTTAAAAAATATTCAAAATATGTTCACAATTTCAAAAAATATTCACGAAATGAAAGAAGGAAAAGAAAAAGGGGAAATTAAAAATTAAAACTTGAAAAAGAATAGAAAAATAATTAAAGAGGAAAAAACAGAAAGAAAAAAAAACAGAAAAAGAAAAGAAAAACAGGTTGGGTAGATTAACCTTCACAAAACAGGGAGGGAGGGGTGCGCGATTGATCGCTATTCCCCAACCTACATGGAGAATAGGATCCGTCGGCATGAAGAGCAAGTGGCGTCCTCTCGTCTGGCCTCAGTCAGGGCCTCGGGGGTGGCGATAGATGTTTTTGAGTTGGGCCTCAGTCGGTGCACTAAGCTCGACCGGGCCAAAAGAGGATCAACTCTTCGTCAGAATTTGCGCCCAGTTTTCAAAGTCAACACAGTAAGAACGTCAAGCTGAAAAGCTCAAAAACACTAGTTAAGGGTTACCCTTTGCAAAGGTCACTCCCCATCTTCTCTATCACTAACAAGTGACACACTGTATGTGCGTCATTTGCCGCAACTAGGGAGTTTCTTTTTTTCGTAGATTCATCTATTCAAAATGTTTTATCTCTTGAACTGTTCATCTAAATATCGAACCGTTTTCATCGTTGGATTTCTCGCGTTGAGATTTCAAAAACTAGGTCCTCATGTTAATAGGTTTCACCGAATGTTTTTCCACAAAAAACGCAGAAAAAATTGGAAACCGGAAATGAAATAAAACACACAAAAAAAGACAACAAAAAAACAAAAAAACGGAGCCTTAAAGAACGGTTGTGGTTTTCACCTTTTTGAAAGCAGAAGCTGTACTTTTTTCTTCTTTTGAGGGAAGCATAGGTTTTGCTTCTCATAGAAGCACAAGTTGTGTTTTTTTTTTTATATTTTTTCAGGAAAGTGCTTCTTATGGAAGTATTGACTGTGCTTCTCGCAGAAGCAAATCTGTGCATCCATGAGAAGCCCAGTTGTGCTTCTCATGAAAGCAAATGCCATGCTTCTAGCGAAAACATAGGTTGTGCTTCTGGCGGAAGCACAAACTACGCTTCCCATGGAAGCATCGATTGTACTTCTCGCGGAAGTAAATATGTGCATCCATGAAAAGCCTATCTATACTTCTCGTGGAAGCACATGCTTTCGAGAAGCACATATGTGCTTAAAAAAATTGCACCAAAACCTAGCGAAAGCCAGGCAAAAAATGAAATACTGAAAAAAACTGCCTAAAACCTGGAAACACATAAATAAAATCAAAATCGGAGGAAGTGCTCAACACGCGATACGTGGCAGTGGCTGGGCGTACAACTTGGCGCGGTCTTGGGCAAAAGAATGACCCTTGCGGGAGCCCCTAGAGGACAATCGTTAGTTAGTTGCTCCCAGAAAAGCCTGTCCGGACATGAAGGGCAGCCTTTTAGCTCATCCATAGCTATGACAATAAAGCCTTCATTTTCTCCAAGCTGGGAAATGAATTACTGGTAGAATACATTCCTAGTTAAATATTTTTGAATGTCTGCACATATCCCGGGGCACTAATTTTGGCATTCCAGTCATACTTGCACGCTAGAATTGTACATTTGTACTACTATGTTATGCACAGTGCGTTGAGACCCTGGAATCCAAACATGTCAATCCGAATAAAAAAAATTCAGACAAAGAAGACGGAAAAGAAAATCTTAGAAGCTTGGGTATCCCTTGGGTTGACATGTTTGGATTCCAGGACACTGAAGTGGTAATCTGAATTACTAGTACTAGTTCAGACTTTATGTTTCGTAATATTCATAACAAAGATATGAAGGCAAACTGCTATCAGGGCCAGTTACACTGCTCCTCCTCGATTAAGCACAAGTTCCTGTAACACTCAAGCTGCATGCTACGCGTGAACAGAGAAGACAGGGGAATTCAGACTTTGCCTTTTCCTTGACTGACGAAACACTTACAAGGTTTACACACCTCCTATCGATCCGGGCCAATGCCCAACAACGACATGCCAGACAGGCTCTCACTCACATGCCAGACTACCACTACAGTGTCCTGTGCACACCGACATGGGCTTCAGAGCCAACGGACATTTTGAAAAATTGGTAGGCAAATAAAAATACCTACCGACAACTACAGGTAGACATATATTGACGACACACACATGTAGGGAGAGCTACGACGGTCACAACATGATCTAGCTCCGGTTATTACATCTACTTCCAGACAACACTCATCACATGCCGTGATGATGGAGTTGCGACGTAGCTTGACGAGCATTGCTTCCTTCATTTTGTGGGTGCTTTCAGAGATTCCAACCTGCAGGTACTTTGATTGCTTTCAGTCATATACATTGTACCTGAATATTACCAGCATATGATGGACCCGATTTCGTTTTGCAGAGAGATTTACCTGGACACACATTCATCCGGATTTGCTTCACAGCTTGGGTTTTTCCTGCGCTGTCATCACAGTGGTGTCTGAATTCTGGCAGGAGTCCAAAGCAAGATAAGTTTATACCAAAGGGTATCCATCAATTAGTGAGCATGATGAATGAGTAGTTGTGTGCTTACCGGCGTATGCTTAAGAATGAAACGGTGTTGCAGCTGACTGTCATCCGGCACTTGATTTCCTGACAGACACAATATCAGTATAGAGTCTGAATACCAATTTTCCTGACGATGACAGAGAAACTAGAGGCAAATAAAGATTATGAAAGCATTTCCTCGCCATATTTAATTAAATATTCATCCAAGCAATTTTGGCATTGATATATGGAGCAGAACAGAGGTTTAGGTAGAT